AGCGCAGCATGATTTATTGTTCCGAGCACACGGTCTTCCTGGTCTCCTTGTTTGTTTTTGGGAAGGACTTCCGTAACGAGCGACCACCCCAACACATATATTATGAATAAAGAAGAGACCTAACCCTACCCAAACCTAAACCCTACCCCAAACCTAAAGCTAAACCCTACCCCAAACATAAGGCTAAACCCTACCCCTACTCCAAACCCTACCCCTACTCCAAACCCTGCCCCTACCTAAACCCTACCCCTACCCCAAACCCTAACCAAAACATAAAGCTAAACCCTACCCCTATCCCTACCCCAAACCCTACCCCTCCCCCTACCCCTATCCCATATCCATCTGTTCTACTCAGTCTCATGGTGGTCGCTCGTTCCTGAAGTCCTCCCTGTTTTTGTTTGTTTTTGTAAGGTTTTGCGGCGCTCTCAACTGCATAGGTCATATGAGCGCCAACGGGTGGGTCTCAACAGAGATGTCCAACCCAAACGGGGAATCGGGCTTACTCTGTTCACCTCTCTAGCCGCAGCAATACAAAGTCTACTTCGACTATCAAGGCACCCCGGAAATAGCAGTTCACAAAAGAGTGATAAACATACAAAAGAAGTAGAGGCAAAATGGTAATTTTGTAGTATTGGACCCATCTCGCTAAGAGGCATAAATTTGTGACTTTCTTAATTTTTTTGGAATAACATAAACGCATTTGACCATTAAAATCACCGCAAATCAATCTAAATGTTAGAAAATAGGGGATCCTAGATCTATTTTCTAAATGTTTAAAGACAAAAAAGAAGATAAAAAGTACCCCTGAAAAAAACTTATATTCTCTTACCTTACTTGCGCTGCTCGTCGCAATTATCCAAGAAAGAACCCTTATTGTCGGAAACACTGAAACCATAAGGCCTCATCTTTTTTTGTTGTTCTTTTAGGAATCACAAAACTGTTCCAGCGGCGCCATAAGCATTTATCCTCACAAAATCCCGGCTTTTCTGGTTGTCTTGGTAGAATTTAGAGATGGTTCAGGAATAATTGAAGATGCACGACTGGCACGAATCCATGACATGGCATAACCCAACCCAGACAAGGAGCAGAGCGAGAATGACGGACGGTTAGACTAAATCTAGAAGATTTCAAACTTAGTTCTATAGAGTGAAATGACGTACGCAAAGCACAGCAGACATCTTGAAATGCGCATGCGCAACAATTGATATGCTGAAGGTTAGATGCCGTAGGTGCATTAGAATTCAAAAAGGTTAGATGGCGCATTCGCATACTCTATGGCACGTGACTAAACGTGCAATCACATTGCTCTTTCCCAGTGTATTAGTACTCCAAGTTCGTGAAAATAATAATACGATACAGGTTCAATATCTCGCAAACGGGACGTTTACGACGGTTTTGAATATCATAATCGTTAATATCACACTAAAACCTACAAAACCCATTAGCAAAGTAGTCAACATAAGTTGGGTCCAAGTCTGCAATAATACCGGGAAAATGACGATAATAAGGATGAGGAAAGAAAAAGCAGCAGTTCCCTCCTATGTTGTTCAGGCAGAGTATGAACATGACATAGATAAATCAGCCCATTTACAATTCTACTGTACATAAGAACATGTTAATACACCCCCCCCCCCCCAATTAGGAATAGACTAAAGTCACTTCAGTCAGTAGCACTGCTCTGGTGGGGGCGGGGTCTCCAAATGGGAGGATTTCTGTAACGAGCGACCAATATGACATAGAAATAGGAATAGGGTTAGAGTTAAGGGTAGGGGTAGGGGTTGGATAAGGGTTGGGTTAGGGTTATGGTAAGCGGTAGGGTTGGGGTAGGGGTAGGGATCTAGGTCCCTTCTTTATTGTGTTTGTTAAGGTGGTCGCTCGTTACGGAAGTCTTTCCATTCAAATTGCTGCCTCCCCTAATGCTTCTTTGATTATGGGGAAGAAATGCAGATAAGAATTATCCACAAAGGCTTTGTTTTGCTTTTCTTTGTTTGTTTGTTTTTTGTGGGAGTTTCCAGCTAACAGTGCTGATAGGGGCGTTAAACACCTACCATTTCACCATTTTCCACCACATTGTGAGCATTCAAAGTGAGGATGTACCCAGCATATATGCTTCAGTATGTTCAATTCGTGAAACCTCATATTATTATGACTTGCTGCCCACTGCGACTGCTACTCTGCAACTGGGTCCGCCAGGACCTCCGTAACGAGCGACCACCCCAACAAACACAATAAAAAAGAGACCTAACCCTAACCCTAACCCTATCCCAAACCTTAACTCTGACCCAAACTTAAACCTAAACCGTGGGTTGTTGGCAGGTGCTCTGGTGTGGTTTGCTTCTTCTTTCCTGTCAAACATCTATCGTCCTTATCTCTCCTCCATATTTTTTGTGTTTGTTACTCTCTTGAAACACCTCTAATCTTCGGCACTTATAATATGACCTTATTGAGTTGCAAGTGCCGTAAGACACTTACTAAAACTAAAACAAAAAACCTAAACCCTAATCTGACCCCTACCCCTGCCCCTACCCCGATCTCCTACCCTTCTGTTCTACTCTGTGTCATAGTGGTCACTCGTTACGGAAGTCCTCCCCTGGGGGAAGCTCCCCTGGGTCAGTCAGGGGCTGGGCTCTCCCATGTCGAGGGATTCGTGGGACATCGTGGTGGAATTGTCGCTTTTAAGGGCAAACGGGCTAACCCAGATTTCGGGGGTTTCCAGAAATCTTGACCAACACCGAAAGTGGGCATTGCCTTACCTATAGGAGAAGTTTGGTTTCATTGGTGTACATAATTGTTTGATTATAGAGAAAACTCTCCTTGTCTTTTAAAGAAACTGAACAAGGGGCAAAAACTTTACCTTCGATTTTCTCAAATCAGCATTTTTGGGGGATAGCCTCCTTGTGCTTAAAAGCAACCAAATAAGGCGCTCGTCAATGTGATGAAATCGAAGAGACATAGTATAGATCGACATCTTTCCGTTGGGCAATTTTTTCGAATTTTTTTTGTTGGTTTTGTTTTTGCTTTTTCTGCTTTGCTTGCTTGTTTGTTTGTTAGTTGGTTGATGTTGGGTTGGGGGAAAGGGGGTTGTTTGTTGGGGGGGGGGGGTTGTTGGGTTTTAGGGTTTTTCTTTTGGTTGTAGGGTTGTTGTTTTTTGTTTATTATGTTTTGTTTGTTGTTGTTTTTTGTTTTTTTTGGGGGGGGGTTGTTGGTGGGTTGTTTTTTGTTTTGGGTTTTGTTTGGGGGGGGGGGGGGGCTCAACACATTTTGTGTTTGTGTCCTTTTAAAATCACATTTCTTTGTGGATTTTGCAGGAAAACGTTCATCAGAGACACGGAGAAAAAAGTAAATTCGCAGTTTCTAAGGACTCTCAAGCTTTGAAAGTTCCCTAACTCTGGAGGCCATTTTTCTCTCTAATTTTTCCTCTGACACCAGGGCCCAATCGCAAAAATGTCTACTTCTCTTCAAGACAGACTGCCAATATGTTGTCAAAAGAAAGATTCGGGAGTTCGAGCGTCATCTCGACCCGACGATGTGTCCTTGGGAAAGGCACTTTACACGAATTTCCCATTTGGCTCGGTCCTTTTAGAGAAGGACGTTGAACTCGGAGGTGACAGGGGCGTTAAACATGCACGGTTTCACCATTTACCACTTTTGTCAAAAGCAAAATGAATGAACAAATTTTAAGAGAAGCGATCAATAACTCTCTATGCCCAACGATTATTATTGACTAACGCCTGATTCCACTGCGTCACTATACAGAGTTTGAGTGTGTTTCCGAAACATTTCCCTAATGTATTTGGATTGTTTTTCGGTGCGCCAACTTTACACAGGGGGGGGGGGGCTCTCGTGGTCAAGAGGTTACGGCGTATGCCTCTCGTTCAATTGGTCCTGGGTTCGAATCCGGATAGGGACGGAAATGTTTCTTCTCCAAAATGTTCTCCTTTCACTTCCTGTCCTGCTCCCTAACAGTGCCCTGTCGTCTGATTTTGTCTCCACTTTCTGCTCCCACCCCTCACCTTTTTTGCCCCCTCCTCTGGGCTCCTGACTTTTTCTGTAGCCTCTCTACTCCTTGGCTCCTTCTTACTGCTATCTTTCAGCCACTGCCCTGATCTTATGGTAGGTAAGATCTAACACCCAGCCTTCTCGAACAATGGCAAAAAATCTGGGAGGTCCTCGGTGTACAAGTTGCACACGTTAAAGATCCCTTGGTAGTCCAAAATCGATAAGAGTTGGTTTCGGTCTCCACTCGGGCAAAATTCAAAATTCCGTACCAACTGAAATAAATGTTTAATGTGTCCCGTGCCCTCAAATGATCTAATGCGGTTGCCAGGGCCGTAAAAAATTGCCAAGAAGAACAAAATTACCTACTGTATGCTTTCCTGGCGACAGCTCAGAATAGAATACTGCCTTTGGCATTCTAAAAATCAGGAAATGTTCATCAAGATATTGCCAGACCAGCAAATTTGTGTCCTCTTGAGCTTAGAAAACAGACTGTTGGCATGCTCTTTTGAGGATGTCGATGCCTTGTGCGTGATTTTTGCCACAACTGATGCCAAGAATTCTCTTGATGCATTATCTGTGGAAATGATGAAGCTTTTACGAAAACATTCTTCACAATTATCGCATTAAATACTTTTATTATTTACTATCTTAGAAGGAATGATACTCTAACGATATTGGTTAAAAATACTAATACTAATAATAAATGTTATTATTATTATTATTATTATTATTATTATTATTATTATTATTATTATTATTGTTACTATTATAGTAAAAATAGTAATAATGTATAATAATGAAAATAATGTAGGAGTAGCGCTTAAATAAAGCTAAGACTTACCTCTTGAGTTGTTGTGAGTTGAACTGCCCGCCTCTCGGTCTTGATTTTTACTCACTGTGTCACTTTCGCAGAGAGTGACGTCCCTTGTCCTTGTGAGGTCAATGCAATCGTACTCGTAGTGATTCGCATAACCCCACACAACCCCCCACTAGTATTGTCCTCACATAAATCTCCTAGGTGGACGAAGTTGACGTCCGGACCTGGAGCTCTTGGAAGCCGTAAGATGAGGCTGCTGAGATGAAGAAGGTGGAGGTGGAGGAGCAGGATTGTTTGTTGTGATAATTCTGGGCCGTCCACGTTTCGGTGGGTGAGCAATAAGGACTGGTTGCGACGTTTCTACGTGGGCCGGTTTCAGGCGATCAATCGAAATCGTTTCTGTCCTATTTCCCATGAGTATGTCGAAAGTCTTGCTGTTCCGAGCGGCTACGACGTATGGTCCAGTGTATGGACGTTGTAAGGGACGTTGAGAGGCGTCGCATCTGACAAAGACATACTTTGCTATTGTCAAAGTGCTTGGCACCTTGTTTGGAGGCTGGCAGTGTCGTGAAGTTGGAGTGGGTAGGAATGATTGGGCCTGGCCACGAAAATCATTCAGCTGTTCAGTGGCACAGAAAGGGGTGGCGGTGGCAGCAATCAGTTCTCCTGGAATTGTGAGAGGTTCTCCGTAAACTAACTCAGCCACTGAAGTTCCTATGTCCTCCTTAGGAACAGTTTTTAGGCCCAGCATGACCCATGGTAGTTGTTCCATCCAGTTGGGACTATGCAGTCGAGCCATGAGTGAGGATTTAAGAGTCCTATGGAATCTCTCGACGATTCCGTTCGACTGTGGATGATAGGAAGTCGTTCGATGGATCTTAGTCCCAAGTCTTTCCATAATTTCCGTCCAGAGGGCAGGCGTGAATTGAAAACCCCTGTCGGAAGTAATGTCTGTTGGGATGCCAAAACGGGCTATCTATACACTGATGAGCGCATGTGCACAAGTGACAGTAGACGTGTTTTGTAGTGGTATCACTTCTGGCCAGCGTGTGCTGCGGTCAATGATTGTAAACAGATAAGTGTATCCCTGTGAAGAAGGGAGAGGTCCGACAATGTCCACGTGTATGTGACTGAATCTTTTCTTTGGTGTTGGAATCTTCTCAAGTGGGGCGTGGACGTGTGTGTGTACTTTGGATCGTTGGCAATCCAAACACTCTCTTAACCATTGTCTAACTTGTTTCTTCAAAACATGCCACACGAACTTCTGGGACACAAGTCGTGCTGTAGCTCTTGCCCCTGAATGTGAAAGGCTATGTATGATGTCAAAAACTTGACGTCGGAAGTCTGGCGGCACCACTGGGCGTGGTTTCCCTGTGGAGATGTCACACAACAGTTGATGACCGGTTGGTTCTACAGCTGTATAAACCAGACGGAGATTTGTGATGGCTGCGCGATAGGCCTGAACTTCCTCACTTGCGGCCTGAGAAGTTGCCATTGCCGAGTAGTCTACGCCTACCGACACACTGGAGATAGAGCGTAAAAGGCAGTCAGCGGTGACATTGTCTTTACCTGAAATATGCCTGAGGTCTGTTGTGAACTGAGAGATGAAGGACAGTTGCCTTTGTTGTCGACCAGACTAGGGTACTGTGACTTTTGACATCGAGAAAGTCAGGGGCTTGTGGTCAGTGAAGACACAGAATAATCGACCCTCAAGCAGGAACCGGAAATGACGAATGGAGAGATAGATGCTGATCAGTTCTCTGTCAAAAGCGCTGTACTTCTTCTCTGCAGGACGTAAGCGTCTACTGAAGAAAGCTAAGGGTTGCCACGACCCATCCACAAATTGTTCGAAAACTCCGCCAACGGCTTGTTCCGATGCATCACATGAGAGTGCGATGGGCACGTCGGTGTTCGGGTGGGCAAGCATGACTACCTCTGCCAGTGCTGCCTTGCTAGTCTGGAAGGCAGTGCTCATTTCTTCCGACCACTGGACCTGAGTGGACTTTGAAAAGTTCTTTAAAGCATCGTACAGGGGGCGTTGGATCTCTGCTGCATGGGAAATAAACCGATGATAGAAGTTTGCCATCCCTAAGTACTCTTGTAACCCTTTCACTGTTTGAGGAGGGGGGAAATCCTCAATTTCTTTAATCTTGGAGGGGAGAGGTGTAGATCCTAATGGAGTGATGTGGTGACCTAAGAAGTCAATCTCCGGGACTCCAAAAACACATTTCTCCAGTCTTACCACAAGACCAGCCTCACGCAATCTTTCACAAACAGCGTAAAGATCTTCCAAATGTTGGGCCTCTGAGTCGCTAGCGACAAAGATGTCGTCTATGTAGTTGAAAGCGCATTTGAGATCTTGGAGCAGAGAGTCCATCAAGCGCTGAAATGCTTGTGCAGCATTCTTGAGACCAAAAGGCATGCGTAGAAATTCGTACAGGCCGAATGGAGTGATGATTGCTGTTTTTTCGATGTCCTCTGGGGCCATGGGTATCTGATGGTATCCCTGCATGAGGTCAGTCTTGGAGAAGATAGTTTTCCCTTTCAGCCCAGCCGAGAAATCCTGGATGTGAGGAATGGGGTACCGGTCTACTATCGTCCTGTCGTTGAGGCGACGAAAATCCCCGCATGGTCTCCACTCTCCACTATTTTTAGGGACCATGTGCAAAGGAGATGCCCACGGGTTGCTAGATCGTCGAATGACGAATCACACCCATGTCTTCCATCTTCTTGAATTCCTCTTTTGCAGTGGCTAGTTTGTCAGGTGCTAGACGACGTGCCTTAGCATGGATAGGGGGGCCAACAGTAGGCACATGATGATGGACGCCATGTTTCACCTCTGAAGATGAAAAAGTGGGTTGGAGGATTTGGGGGAAACTCGGAGAGCACTTTCCTGAACTTGTTGCTCTGCGGAGCAACAGGAACGAGCTCTTGTATCGATGCATTCGCTACTCGATGGGTGCTGCAAGGGTAGATGGCCAACGAGTCAGCATTGATGACCTGCTGGCCACGCACATCGACAAGGAGGTTGTGTCGGCGGAGGAAGTTTGCGTCGAGAAATGGCCGTTTCACATCTGCTACCACAAATCTTGCCGTGAAGACTCGATCCTTGGTCCTAATTGGTATGATTCGCATACCATAAGTAGCAATGTTAGAGCCGTTTGCGGCGAGGAGTGGAGGTCCGCAGGTACCAGTGTGTTTGTCCAACTGTGTTGCGGGAATGACTGATACCTGTGCACCTGAGTCAACCAAGAAACGACGTCCTGTGATGTTGTCAGTCATAACAGATGTGGGAAGCATGGGCCAGCAGAAGCTTGAGAGACGGGTGTCACTACTGCTGACCCTGCCTGGCGTTTCCCTGGTTTATGTTAGAAGTTGAAAAGGAACGAGGTTTGGGGGCAGGATGTGTGCATGGTTGGATGCATTTGCGTGCCTGTTCTCCATAACGATTGTGGTACCAGCACACTTGTGAGGTTTGGCCACCGCTAGATCTAGCTCTAGATCCAGAGGGTGATGGCTGTGTTGAAGCGATGTTTACCTCTAGCACTGAGGTGGAGTTTGGAATGACGGACAGGTAAAGTCGGTCCGCTTCCTGTGCCAGTAGCCTGTAATCAACAGTGTGTGACGCTGCCAGAGGTGTTCTCACATGTTCAGGCAGTTGTTGTAAGAATAATAATAATAATAATAATAAAAATAATAGATAGCATTTGTATAGCGCATATCCCCGCTCAACAGCAGGCTCTATGCGCTTTACACTATATTATTACCCCAGCAGACCATAGAACACTCCGAAACATTCTCAGCTTCGCGGGAAGCATACAGTGCGAGCAGCCGATTAAGCGCTCAAACACTAACAAACTGACAAGATCTTTCGCTGTCTATAGCCGGGTACCCATTCCCACCTGGGTGAAGTGAGGAAAATTCGTGTAAAGTGCCTTTCCCAAGGACACAACGTGGGCCCTTGAACAGGTGTCTGAATAGGAAACATGGGCTATGGGGCCCAAGAAGAGCTAGCATAGATTCCATTAGCTCCGATGGTTTGCGGTCACCAAGTCCCTGAATGTTAAGAAGGAGGTGGGCTCTTTCAGATTCAGATTTGCCAAAAGCAGATAAAAGGTCTTTTAGTCTCATACTTGCGTTCCTGCGGTAGTGAAATAAGCACAGATAGAACACGTGTTGCTGTTTGACTGTCAAGGCTAGCCACCACGTGGTAGTATTTCGTGTCGTCCACTGTAACACAGAAGATGGCAAATTGTGCCTCCGCTTGAGCAAACCAAGCTTCGGGGTTTGTAGTCCAGAATGTTGGCAGCTTTAATGAAACTGCAAACATCGCTTTGTTTTCCTCGCCCATGTTGAATGTTATCTTGGAAATCCGTTCCAAGTTTCGGGGTCAGCGGAGTAGCGCTTAAATAAAGCTAAGACTTACCTCTTGAGTTGTTGGGAGTGGAACTGCCCGCCTCTCAGTCTTGATTTTTACTCACGGTGTCACTCTCGCGGAGAGGGACGTCCCTTGTCCTTGTGAGGTCAATGCGATCGTACTCGTAGTGTTTCGCATAACCCCACAATAATAACAATTATAAGCAGTTTTGAATATATTTTCATAACGATATTGGATACGTTTACGGTACACTTATGAGAGTGGGAAAAAGTCAAACTCGGACTGGAGTTATGTAGCTGCCAAATACCGGCACATCAATGCTCACAAAATTTCTGGCTTGAAACGGCACGTTTTCAACACGTGATCCATGTAACTTTCAAATGAGACAAGTTATACTTTTAGGCACATACCAGATGGGACTTATATTATTATGTGTCGTATTGTACGTGCTCAGTCTCTTGTGAGCTGAATATGCTGTGCCTTCTAAATGGGCATTTTTTGTGTTTCGCTTTTAAAGAGAGAGAATGGGGGAGGAGGTGTTCTTTTATTGTTGTTGATGTTGTTCAGTTCGAGGACCCTGGTAGTTAGACAGTGCTGGTGACAGTTGGTGTGGCGTAGCATCAGGAGGTAATGATGATGTGATATTCAAGTTTTTGGTTTGTTGGTTTGTTTGTTTGTTGTTCTTGTTGTTTTGTTGGGGGGTATTGCTGTTTTCTTTTTAGGGATGGGGGTTGGGAGGGATGTTTTTAGATTTACAAAAGCCTACATAACAGCCAACAGACTCTGCAATGCTGTGCTTTTATAGAGAGACGGAATAACATGATTGTTATTTTTAAAGATAAAATGCTAATGCAATATTTCAAGGAATGCGGAAAAGTGTGAAAGTGCGTAGATAAAGGGGAAAATGTGTGGGGGTTGCGGGGAAGAGGGGGAAGGGGAAGCTATGTGAACCCCTACAACACACCTCACTCAGGATTTCAAAACTAAGATTTTGTTCTTTCTTTCTAGGAGGTGGCCTGCCCACTGCAAGATGTACCCCTATAACTTTGGTCTCCAGTCTGTTTTATTAGCTGTTTTCCCTGACCAAATTGTACCCGTCTGCTTTCTGGTAGCATCTTGCCATCTTCCTTCTGTACTTCCTTTTTTTTTTCCAGTCTTTGGCCTCCATTCAGTGCATCTTTTTCGTCAATCTATTGTCTTTCACACTACTGATGTGGCCAGCATATCTTCATTTTTTGTCAAAGTATAATTTGGGGATTTGGTGATTTGTTCGTTATGTATTATATTATAATTTTGGCTCACAATGAAATTGCCGAAAAAACACCATTGCAGTGGGTGGTTGGTAGATGTTCTGGTATTGTTTGCGCCTTCGTTCCTGTCAAACATCTATCGTCCTTATCTTTCCTTCTCCTTTTTGTGTTTGTTGCTCCCAGTTCTTATCTTCGGCACTTATGTTATCTGATTGTGTTGCAAGTTCCGTCATACGTTTACTGAATCTAAAAATAGGTCTTGCCACCGAAAGGCATCTAGGAGATGAACAGTCTTTTTTTGTGAAGAAAATGTGTGGTGTTTGCAGACGTAGATGCAGGGTTGGAATGGGACTTTGTTGTTTTTTCCTGCTGTTGTTGTTGTTGCTGTTGTTGTTGTTGGTGGTGGTGGTGGTGGTAGTGGTTGTGTTGTTGTTGTTGTTGTCTTCGTTGTCGTCGTCGTCGTCGTCGTCGTCGTTGATGATGATGATGACGATGGCGATGACGATGACGACGACGATGACGATGATGATGCTGTTGTTTCTATAGTTAGATGGTGTAATTGTGTAATATACGATTTTTGTTTTAGGGTTGTTGTTGCTGGTATTGTTGTTGTTGTTGTTTTCTGTTGCTGTTGTTGTTACTGCTGTTGCCTCTGTGGTTATTTTTGCTGTCATTGTTAAATGCATGGTTTTTATCTTATGAGAGAGAAAGAGAGAGAAAGAGAGAGAAAGAGAAAGAGAGAGAGAGGGGGGAGAGAACGAGAGAGAGAGTGAGTGAGAGAGAGAGAGAGAGAGAGAGAGAGAGAGAGAGAGAGAGAGAGAGAGAGAGAGAGAGAGAGTGGGGGGGGGGCGGGTAGGGAATCCGTCAAACATGCTAGAAAAGAATTTGAAGTTTATTCGTAACTTGTGCTTTTGTCTGAAAACATGCATTACCAAAATCTACAGAATCCCTTCTGTCATTCATTACAAAAGCTGTCTGCCGTTTCTCTTTTTCTATGTCAGACATGTAAAAACCTTGCTTTCATGGGCAGAAAAGCAACGGAACAACTTGTAATGAATTCATTTTATCTATTAAAATCTCTGTAGTTCGCAGAGTTTGCCTAATGTCGTGGAAAATCAAGCGCTGGAATATATGCGGGCCACGAATATATTATCATAAACTATTTGAGGGGGGACTGGCCTCATTAATAATTTTTTAAAGGAAAGGAAAAGAAAACAAAAAACTGGGTTCGCTGTTCTGAAAAGTTGGAGAGACTGTTATCATTCCTCACCTTTGTGATATCATGATTTGAAGTGAGCAAACTGAATGAATGAACACGGCTTTTAACAAGAGGGAGGCTTGCTTTCGAGTGTCTCTGTTCGACGGAAGAGAAGGTAAGTTTATCCACTGCTCGTTTAACGTTTAAAAGTGAAACGGTAGCATTTAATTTTGATTTAGAAAGAATTTTACGGCACTTGCAACACAATTAGGTCATATGCGTACCCATTCAGGTGTGTAACCGTAGCATTTGTTTTAGTAAGAGTTTTACGGCATTTCCAATACAATTAGGTCATATAAGTACAAGTACACGTTTGAGAGTGAAACGGTAGCATTGATTGTTTTAGTAAGAGTTTTACCGCACTTGCAACTCAGTCATAAAAGTACCGAAGATTAGAGATGTTACAAGAAAGTAACAGACACAAAAAAGAAGTACGAGGGATAAGGAAGACATGTGTTTGATAGGAAAGAAAGACCTCCCGCCAACCACAAACGATTTTAGTACATGTATAGATTCACACACCATACCAAGAGTTGATATTGCACATTGTTATTAAAGAATTCATGCTTGTTAGTGTGTGTGTGTGTGTGTGTGTGTGTGTGTGTGTGTGTGTGTGTGTTTGTGTGTGTGCGTGTGTGTCTCTGTCTGTGAGTGTGTGTCTGTCTCTATGTGTGTGTG